TCATGCGGTGAATTTTGCTTCAATTTTGCGCGAAGGGTGAGGCGAGGGCTTATCGCACCCCGGCGCCTCAGAATCCGCCTGTGTTGTCCGATTTGGGCGGGTGAGGGCTTCAAACGAGCTAGCTAAATGTCAAATCCTTTCAAATGTGGAGAGGTTCAAACAAATTTGCATATAGGTCACGGCATAGAAAAAGCGGAAAAAACAAATTTTCTTACATCTCGTGCTTAGCAAGTATCAACGAAACGCCATCCTGGAAAAGCGCCGTTGACATAACCCCGAAAGTCAGCTTCGCTTTGACCTATAGGAGATTTGAACAAATATGGTCCATAGCGCACTCAAGAAAGCAACAGTTAGAACATATTTCGTTATGTCTCGTTTTTAGTGGGTCTATTCGTCACTGTAACAAAAAGAATGAATTCGAACACCTTTATGTAGCACCATATCACACACGCGATGCCTTACGTCAGCGGTGGAAGCAGACATATAAGGTTAGGGGTAAGATTACCTTCTAAACACCCTGCCCTTGTCTCTAGAGATGGCCTCAAATACCGCATCCAGCCAGTTATAACAATGATATGCCATGAACAAGTGGATGCAAAACGTAAGTGATGGATCTAGGCAGATAAAAGGAGCATTACTAAGTGTATTATTACAAGCCATTAGGTTTCATTATTTCAACACGCCCAAAATCGCGCGGGTCGAATTGACCCCCCTAAAGGTTTTTCCAAAATGGTTTCCGAACGGCGCAGAGTAGTCGCGTCAAATTGTGCGTAGCTGTAGACAATTAAATATCGGATCGTTTGAAATCAAAAATTTAGGTGTACCTTGTACGATCACTGACCTATGGCTGGTCAAAGTCAGACCATAGTTTTAGCGAAGGCAATTTCTAGGGAATCCTTCAATCTGATCTAACAACGAAGTGTTGGACAAAGCCATACATCTCTGAGATGCTTTCTTAGGCAGCACAACAGTTGAATGAGCAAATTACATTGACCTATGGTCGGGTATAGAGGTCGCACCAAGGTCAAGACCCGTTTTGTTACTCTAGGGCTTACTGTATGGGATAGTTTCTGGTGCTCATTTCGAGTTTATTGATAGCAGGAACCGCATCATACATCTTCCATGGACTTCTTAAAGGTCGGAATAGGTCATTGACCTAAAGCGACCCAGGTCAACATTTTGTTTTAAGAATGTACTGCCTAGCGTAATCTTTGTCGCTTAGTCAAATGCAAAACTCAAAGCAATCTTGCATGATTTTTGTCACCTTGACATTCAAAGGTCAAACAAGGTCACTGACCTTGAATGAGCACGAGATCTTTTGCTTAGAAACGGTTATCTAGGTTCCGGGGGCACTTTGGAGACCAACCTGGAACTTGACCTTGTTTGACCTTTTTCGACAACAAGGTCATGACCTAGGAACTTGAAACTTTGACTCAAGTGAGTTCACGTACAGGTCAATACACCCGGTAGATGTGGTGTTTTTAGCTTTCTCAGTTCCCGAGATCTCAGGGGAGGGGTCAAATTGACCCCCCATCCGAGCGAAGGGTATCTAGCTGGCCACCCGGGCGCGCTGTTAACATGCGTCCGTAGGCTACGACAAAGAGTAACCGGGTTTGTAGAGCCGGAAATGTTGTGAGAAATATCGGTGAGGTACTTCAGCCAGTGGTGGAAAAGAAAAGTCTACATATAGCGGGCCAGCTGGACAGGTCAGCCAATCTGATTGTGACTCCAGGTGGCAAGGCAACACACTTTATGGTGGTATTCACAAATCAGTTAAGAGGGGCAAATGCATTACGGCACTGTTTATCTTACCTAATTTCACCCCTTCCCATTTTTGTTGGACTTTAGCAACGTAATGCTGCACTGATTGCCACGTCGCAGCAGGCGCTACAGTGGCTACAAAAGCTTGGGATCGAAATCCTTATTGCCAAATACTGCACTTGACACATATGTAAACCTCTGAAGTATTACCGTTGTCGATATACATACACATCGCCTACCCATCGCCGTGGGTCGCTGTTTTTCATAACGCAGATTGAGGAGGGTGGTGAGGTGGGTGAGGAGTGAGACGGGGTGGTGGTGCGAGCCCCTGGGGTTTCCGAATGAACAAACATAGAGCTTAGCAGAAAACTCCAGTGAACTGTTGGCGACACGATCTCGCGATTGTTATCACTTTTCATGTTGTTAGGTCAACAATTCACCCCATTACGACAGTACAAAGGCCAAGTTTTCCAGGAGGTCGCACTTTTTCAACTTCACAACATTATGCCTACGAGACCATGCCTTACGGCAACACGAAACTTAAACAGGCGTGTTTCTTGTTCAATTTTAAGTGCAGTGGTGCACGTTTGTGTTTTAAGCATACTTTTGTGCTACGTAGCTCCGTTAATGTGAAAATGCCGTCCGACCGCGCGCGTTTCGCGACGCCATCAGCTCCCGCCCGGCAGCCGGCCCGCCGGCCGCCCAGGCCATAGGTCGCCATGCAGTTTTCCTCAAAAACCGCCACTGCTCCGAAACCAGAGGAGCTAAGCACTTTTCTGGTGTAAAAACATGACGCACGGAGCCTCACAGGCTACTGAAAATTTCTGCGCGACTGCACGGCATGCCGGAGAGGCTTCTTCAGCAACCTTAGAGCGGGGTTACATCACCCCGCCCTATTAGTGAAATCATGCCGCTTTTACTAGGCAATCAGTGTCGTTCATGTGGGTTTCTACGCGTCTAAAATCCAGCCCTTCTTGCTTCTGGACACAGGTTTTACACCTCGCATGCATCATACTAATCCACATGTAATCAGCCGTGATGCAATAGACCGCGTTAGCACTCAAGGCATTCGCATCAAACATTAGCCGGATTTAGTCAAAGAACTGTTTGCCTCGAAGACCTCTTTATCCGTACCGACATACCTCCCAAAACCGGTTCCTAGAGCAGCCTCTAGACAGAGGAGGAGGCTCAGATTTTGGGTGGTTATGCCAAATTTGTGTTCAGCAAAAGTCATCAAGGCTCAGAGATCCAGCTCTAGCAGTTTTAATGCAGATTCAAAATAACTATCAGGAATGTCAATATGAAGATAGGGCTACAGGTCCAAAACCTGGGACACGATTCCACGGGAGCTCCGCAACGTTGATCACGTTTGCACCTTTACATTATTGCGTGACATTACGACAGAGCTTAAGTTCAATTTTTCACATCTTGTGGGCACAGGCGCCGGCGAGATAGCGTTACGTCCATTTATTTTGGCACTGTTTATCTTTGCTGCGGCCAGTTGTCCCTGTTGGTTTGGACCTCTCCGTCAATGCACGTGACCCAGCTCCAAAACACAGCACACGCACTCGCCATGCTTTCCTCTGTCCTCCGGTTTTACTCATGACTAAAACACCTCCCAGTAGCATTTGTTCGAGCTGTTCTAACGCTGCTCATCTCGGGCTGTTCTAACGCTGCTCGTCTCGGGTCGTTCTAACACTGTTCGTCTCGGGCTGTTCTAACGCTGCTCGTCTCGGGCTGTTCTAATGCTGCTCGTCTCGGGCTGTTCTAACACTGTTCGTCTCGGGCTGTTCTAACGCTGCTCGTCTCGGGCTGTTCTAACGCTGCTCGTCTCGGGCTGTTCTAACGCTGCTCGTCTCGGGCTGTTCTAACGTTGCTCGTCTCGGGCTGTTCTAACGCTGCTCGTCTCGGGTTGTTCTAACGCTGCTCGTCTCGGGCTGTTCTAAACGCTGCTCGTCTCGGGCTGTTCTAATGCTGCTCGTCTCGGGCTGTTCTAACGCTGCTCGTCTCGGGCTGTTCTAACGCTGCTCGTCTCGGGCTGTTTTAACGCTGCTCGTCTCGGGCTGTTCTAACGCTGCTCGTCTCGGGCTGTTCTAATGCTGCTCGTCTCGGGGCTTCATCACATATTTCCCAAATGTTCACAAACCAACTGTGCAACACAGAGCAGGAAAACGCATTTCTCATCACGATAGTAACAGCTAAGACCAAACTGCCGGATGATAGAAGTAAACATATTGTGGGCAACAGTTGTGACCTCTTCTCCAAAATCAGGGTGTACCTGAACAATCTTCTAAACTAATTTACACTAACTTGGTGCAAAAACAAGCCAAATACATCTTGAATACGCACGCCTTTTGCAGCCTATCAATTTTTTTCATTGTTATTTTGCGATGGGTCATAACTCGGGACTCATGTTTTCATACCATTTGAAAAGTGGATATCACACCATTTGAAATGTGGAAATAAAAACAAAGATTTATCGCGCTAATTCCTACAAGAAAGAAACGACATTTGGCATTGATAACGATTAAGCATTACACCAACAATGATGGCGAGTTTGGAAACATGCAACGGTTACTTTTGGTTCCTCCCTGGTAGAGCAACAGCATAAAAACTATCGGAAATATTCAGGAAAATCAGTACGTATTTTTGCTATTGAGCAATTTCGTTTAAACAAGGTTTTGCGCGTTACTTTCTCAAGACAACTAGAAATCATTAGTGAAAAAAACAGGAAAAGGTGTTGAAACAGAAACATTAAATGCTCAGAAAAACTCCAGTATATGTACTGACTGACCTCTAAAAGGTGAAAAGTTTCACATCTCGGTTCCAGCTATTTTCTGCATGTCCCAAATGACACACTGTATTTAAGGGTTGGACAAGAGACAAGACACACAAATTTGACCGGCCATGGGCAAAGTCATGGCGTTGCTTTTGTAAATTGATTACATTATACGGAAATTGGCTTATGGAGCGACACAATACATGTCTGGACCATAGATACTACAGGAAATAGCAGATGATACATAGCCGATTCAATGTCAAAGCAACAAAGACCAGGTCATTGCAGCACACACGTGCGTTCCTAAAATGCGATGTCAGCCGAACAAACCCAGCAAAGCCCCAACCCCAGAGGCAAACGGTGACGGGAAGCCCTCCCATTAAAGCAGAGGAGCAAAACCTCATATCCGTTGCCCATATTCTCAAATTGTCTGATACTCTCCAGCTAGCGGCAGGCCCACCTTTTTGAACATCCACCAGTCGGGCTGGGTGATGTTGAAGGGCGGTCGCTTGTTGTACTCGCGGACGCGCTCGGTGAAGTAGTGGTAATCCCCCTGCGGCGGCGTGGCCAGCACAACCAGCAGACCGCGCAGTAGCCCCCAGTCAGCCCACTGGCAGTGGTAGTCTTGGTTGCGGATCAGCTCCCACATCTCGTTGGCGCCTGCCGGTCAGTGCTCTAGTGGCGTCATACGGCCAGCGGCGCCGCGCTCTGGTGACGTCACACAATCACCAGCACCGCGCTCTGGAGACATCAGTACTGACGCGCTTTGGTGGCGTCACTCGAGCAACGGCGCCGGGATCTGACGGCATCACACGGTAAGTGGCGTCGCGCTCTGGTGACCACACGTGACCAGCGGCATCGCATCCTGGTGACTTCACCCGCTTAACGGCTCTGTTGACGTCATTCAATCAGAGGCGCTGCGTTCTGGTGCCATGGTGTAGCCAGGATGCCCAGGAGGGGATCAAATCGTGCCATTTTCGCCACTCAGTCGCTACAGCGGCCCTGTTTTTTAAAGAAGGCCTTTTAAACCCGGGATTCCATGTTGATGCGTAAATGACCTGTTTTCTATTTGATGATTTAGAAGTCCTGCTGGCGTCATGACCGGTCACAAAGTATTGAGGTCTGAGACCCCAGGGGCCCCCGCCACATCCAGAACGGGATGGGGGGATGACTCCAAACGCCCTCCCCCTTGGCTACGCCAGACTTCTGATGGCATCACACAACCAGCGACGCCGGGCTCCCGTGAAGTCACAGGTTAGTGACACCAGGCTCCGGTGACGTCACACGGTCGGTGGCGCCGCACTCCGGTGACGTTACGTGGTCATCAACGATAGTAGCCTGGTGAAGCTATACTGGTACCATGTGGAACACAGCGGTCATCACCAACGTACGCTGTATTAGTTATATGGTGATATGGAAAATGAGAAACTGTCCTGCTGTTCAATCCTTAAGCTGTTGTTCAATCCTTACGACCGAATTCATTACCGAACTCTATATCGCCAAACATTCGTTGTTCAAGGCCCATCACCGAAGTCCGTCCCATCCCGGACCTCACAGCAGTTTCATCAGCGTAGGATGACTAAGAATAATCCTGGACATGGCACCCCCTTACTTTTGGACATCCTCGTGACTTGAAGATGCATGGGGATATCGGTTAGGTTCCGCAAAGCAAACACCTGGACGTGGCGAAGTTCCATCTCGACACACGAACCGTCTCAAGCATCGATTTAAAAGCGCTTCTCACGTTCATCCAACTTTGTTGACGCAATTGCTGAAATCTGACATAAGGCCGCGTGCTCAAACCGATACATTACTCAATTTCACGTGCGACGCTGCCAAATAAAGTGAGCAACAGCCTGCATTGCACCTATGGCCGAAGACTGCTTTCCGAATTTTCATTTCAAGTCAGGCAGTTCGGCACTGATTGAAGTCAGACAGTTCCGCACCGATTGGGCTGGATATCACCGCTGGATATCAGCGGCATGTGCTGTAACCGCTGAGAATTTTGCGTAGCTTTTGACCGGTCGCGTGGACTTTCACAATTATTTTCCCTCACACATTGGCAAGTGGGCACAGTGTGATCCCAACACGTCTCCATTCTGATGCAGTCGATGTCATAAGAAACCCATGGCATTCAGGCACAGGTTATGACTTAGTATGACGCGAGCCATGCGCGGTATTTTTGTGGTTTGGGTGTGAATCAGTTACGGGTAAGAAAAAGGTACAAGCGCTGAGAAAGGCAGCTTTTATAAAGCAGCAGCAAACGTAAAGTAAAGTGGCAAATGTAATGCAAATACAAAATATCAAACCAGCTCTTTGGGTCCTTGAATACTGCTGATACTGAGAACAAAAACTAATTATTGAATCGACAAGGGAAAACTTCCGCAATAAAAACGATACCATGTGAATAAGAGAATCATCATAAAAGCTTTTAACATGTTTGAAAGGAATTTTCTACATTTAAATGGGGTTTTAGACTGATATAGACATATTTAAGATCATTCGGTGCAATTCATAGCCCTGCTCTTCCTAAGGCTTAAAATCCTCTGGCTTCCGAGCTAGACGCCCGCGAAGTTGTGCACACTATTTCGGGCAGACTATTTCAAGGTCACCCAGGCATGTATTACGTCACATAAACATCACACAAATGTTGCCACCTCATTGCTCATGTAGGGTTCAAGGCCAAACAATATGATCGCCATATTGGCGTGCTAGAAATACATGAGCACATTTTGGAACCAATGCTACACATTTAGTGCGAGCTTCAAACACGAATAAATTTATGTGCTACATAACGCAGGAATTTAGACGGTGGTATTGGATATGACGGAAATAAAACTTGCAATCGCATAGCTTAAGAATAGCGCCATTATCGGGCAAGTGGATGCAAGTAAAACACATCGACTCTCAGATTAGCATGCGAGCATACCGCGGGAAAAGGTCAAAACACACGCGTACAGCGATATTTAGGTTCTGGAAACGCTGCACCCAGTTCCACGACACCTCTTGAAAAGGTTAAAGTACTGAAAATGAATGAGCCAGCCCGCTTGAGTGGCCATTTCGCTCGGCCAGTTTGGCAGCCCTCTGACGCCACAAAAACTTTCCATAACGCAAACCTTAATCCAAACAAAGCTTGGATGCATTAACGCAAAGCTTTTCCTCAGCATGATGACGTACTGAGAAAATATATACGAAATAGGGATTTGTGTATTGTAGAGCAGACTTCAGCACTTAAAAGTATACGATTAGTTACAAGCGAGCTTAGTTTAGCTTATCTGATGTTTGCCTCAATATGTTCAAGTGAGGAAAACTCCCATTGACCAAATTCCAGTCGGACACCTCGTAAACACCCCGTTTATCTTATTCCGGGTAAGGGTGGGCTGTCCCCCCCCCCCCCTTCTCGAGACATCAGGAGCTGCTGAGCCGATCGTGAAAAGCCCAACAGCGTTCAACTCCACTGGAAATTTTCTAAATTAAGGAAAATGAATAATTTTCGTACAAGCAGCGAGGGGGGAGGGGATACTGGGATGTGATGAAAGGAGACCTAAGTAAGTAGTGGATGCTATTGTCGGCTGCAATGCTGCTACGAGCTGTAAATTAAGATTGCTTTTTCATATAGCATGCATAGGCCTATACGGCATGTTGTATGAACAAGTGTTATAGACGTACATATTTTCCAAAGGAGGGGGAATAGGCACATGTGATAGGGGCGCGGCCTATTGACGCGGCCGCGAAAGGACGGCCCGCTATTAGTCACCACGGTCTCCGTATGCAGCATCCCCCCCCCCATTTTTCGGTTCCGAACTCGCTTCTGGCACGCATTTTTGAGATGCTGTGTGCTGCCCAAAAGTGTGTGATGGGACGCGACGTTTCTTTTCGATGACGATCCTCATGGTATAGGCATCTTATATATCTCTGGACGCGGCTCTGCGCAAAAGTATTTTAGTTTACTCTAGCTTCAAATGCGCACATATTTTCTTCGCTAGACATTCGTAGCACCCCGACTTCGGCATAGGTTTGAGACCATGTTCCTCTACCCCACCTTTGGCAAAAATGAACAATCCTCTGTCACCGTATATATAAATTGGTCGTGTACGCATCATTTGGTGTAAATAATTTTGCATAAAACAACGAGAAGCATCCTGTACATGTCTACACTGAGACCTCACAATGCACCTTAATAGCTTGGAAGCGCAACTTTTTTTTAGCTCCGAAACCACCACTGCCCTGGACTTCTGCTATATCGCAATAACCATACGCATATTGTTACAATCCAATTCACTAAAAGCATAAATTACTCCTGTAAACACAAGGCGAATCTCGGGAGATCATCACCTTGGCATGATTGCCGTGTTTCACCGGAGGACCCCCCCCCCCCCCCCCCCCCCCCCCTCCTGCACCGCAGTACTGCTAAAGCGCTGGAACCGCCTCTGAAAATGCAAAGTGCTCGATGTTTTAACAGAATACGTTAACACTTGTTGATAATCGTTCAGAAAATTTCAATGAAGTGCTCACAATATGTTTGCTAGAACAAGAGAAAAAAACAAAAGAAGGGTGGAATTAACCTCTGCCCGGAAAGGGTCAACTCAGGAATCAACTCCTTTCACCACACATTCGTTCATGTCATGTCATGTCATTCATTTACTACGAACCATTCCACCTGGATGGATCAGTGTTTGATTCGAGTCAATGGGTTACAAGTTGTACGATACACACGAAGACGCGGAGAACATGACGACGCGTCAAGAGCTTGGAAATAGCCTCCCAAAATCAAAACAAAACACATGAACACGCTGACGACACATTTTGGGACAACTGGCGCCGCAGTCTCCGGCACATCAGCACTGCAGGGAACGGTTAAAGGCGTACATGAATTTCAGTCTCTCACGCACGACCGCTGAGAAGGACGTTGTAGAGCATGCGTTAGTCGCAGTCTCCCAGGCGCCAGCGCTGCGTTGGACGATCAAGAGCGCACCTAGCGACATATTTAAAATTTGACAAAATACATTTATTCCGAATGGTTTGCATGGGTGGCTCCAGGTTCAGAGTACCTGCGAAGCATAGCTTATTGCATGTACCCTGAATTCACCACCCATGTCGTGCCGTCCAGTTTAACAGATATTCGCATCCGCCCTTTCGCCAGCCAGGAATGCGGAGGGTTTTACGAGCCGACCGATGCTGCGGTGCGGCCACCCCGGGCCTGGGTTCGCCCTCGTTGGGCCGGCTGACTTTTCCACTTTAATCGGACCGAACAGTGCGCTCGCTCGGGGTATCGTGCTCCATGCCGCTGGATCACGGAGTCGCGTATCTTTCCCCTAGACCACGGAGGCAGCCAGAAACATTACCCAAGAACTGGCTAACAAGGTACAGTCATGCCAACACCCACTCACATGATCACGTGCAGCGCTTTTCCGATGTCATATTAGTTTAAACTCTTCAGCCTGCAGCGTGCTTGCTTCCAGCACATGGACATCTAGGTACATGCATAGCCTATGACAGGGTAAATGATGAATAGGCCATTTAGCCTACCGTAAGCTTGAAGTGCTCAAGCCTAAGCTTAAACGTAACAAACATCTGCTGTTGCTGTTCGTTAGCGGCGCTGAAAAAGCGTTACATGGTGCAAACTGAATAGTCTGGAAAATCTGAATAATCAAAACAGAAGAAAAAGTAAAGCAAGCAAAAATAATCGATCGGACGCCGTTTGGTTTACCTACGCCACATGTATTTGAAGGTGTCCCGCTCCGAGTATGAATAATCGAGGTCGATGTAGATGACCATGTAGCGACCATCCAGCAGTCCGAAGAGCGACATGGTGTACAGCATCTCCTGCACCTCGTCCGGCGATCCCAGGAACACATAAACTGGCGACAGAGATAGCAGCCCTCAGACACGCCGCGCGCGCACACATTGCGGCTACAGGAGCGTGTACAGACTCAGGAAGACCGTTTGCTTCAGTTTGTTCGCTCAATGTGCGTTAAAAACAACGACAGAACGGGTGCAGTCGAAAAAGGCTCTACCCAAACCGATAATAGCTTAGCGATCCGGCATCGCCAACATTTTCAGGATAAGGGGCGCATACGGCACGATGCTAGACGTTACATTTAGATACAAGATTGTTAGAAGCATACCAACAAGCATCCTTTGGACGTTTAAAATGGTGAAAAGAAGCCAAACACCTTCGACCCCAGTCTACCAGCTAGACTGACTACCATTGATCCCATCATTTAAAACGCACAGGATACACCCACTGGCATGCGTCTAATCATCTTCACTGCAATCAACGACAAAAACACCTCTCTAAACGGAAACTAACCGTCATTATCAGACATGTTCCCGGATCTCAAGGGTGAATCTAGGATCCTAAAGGGTCAATACTTATGGGATCCAGGAATAGGATCCTGAAACCTTTTTGGGAGCTCCAGGCACATGTTTGATCATCATTACATAAGCACATACTGCGCTGTCAGAATGTCGCCGGCTTCTCATAGCCCTGCAGGTGACTGGGCCAGGGGTGTAGCTCTCTTGGCGACATTCGCCGCCGACTGGTGCTGAAAATCCCGGGCCTTTCGCAATGCTGGGTTCTGAGATTTTGAGAGGCTCAATCGCGGGATATACCGGGATCCCAGCAGTTCTCTTGATAAATATGCCGCCAATTCAGGGCTCTCCTCAAAAGGTCATCTCTCGTGTATATTTTGGCCAGAACGACATCTAGGTCGTCGTCTGTTTTAGATAGGGTGTATAAATCCAAGGCCCTGATTCCTTGCAGAAGCGGTGCCGCAGGCCCGGAGCCATCACCCTGGCCTTCGCCGGACTCGTTTTGAGGTGTCTCCCGCGATCGGGATGGTACACCGACATCCATACCACCATGCTTGCTCCTGAGGTGTGAGTCGAGTCCTTTTGCGGAAACTCCGAATATTTCGGCACCTTTTAACGAATGCGATACTTCGCTGTGTTTTCCACAAGTTCTCTTCGACACCCATTAGATCATTGGTTTCAAAACGACTCCGCTTACCTCCCAGCTCTTGAACACGAGACTCGCCACCTGGCAGTGGGTGCAAAGTAACACTAGAGCCGAACCGTCCACAGATCCAGCCTCAGGCTGTGCACACGTCACAACTCACTATGACAACTACCGGCGCGAAAGTCTGTCCAACTGCTGGTGCTAACAAACTGAACGCCTGGTCGTGGCACGCCAAGAATTCGTCATGTTTGGCTGCCCGCTGAGGACGTTAACCAGCTTGCACTCTGCGGTGCAGCGAATCACCGTTCGCTACAATTCACCGAAGGCGGTGAACGAAAAGCGGCGAACGAAAGGCCACACACAATCATGAGCGACTGGAAGAACGTGCAGAAGTTCAGTCCACTTCACAAGTAGAAGTGCCGGCAGCGCTTTTGCCAGTTGTACTTCCAAGCTCCCAGTAGTCAAGACAACCCAGCCAAAGAGAGACAGTCGACCCCTGCATCTGTTCTGATCAATATACCACTCTTCACGCTTTCCGTTAACCGAACTAAAAAATTGATCTCCACCGAATCAGCTAGGAACAAAGCACAGCCAGCTGATCACTGACCCGTTAGAATTCGAAACGGTCTGAAGCCGCTGGTAGTGTGGCGGGTAGGAAGAAATGTAGTATTAGCTCAGCTGTCAAGGTGACCAAATGCGATACATGTCCCCAAACTCTAAAAAATGAACATATCATTCCACAAGAACACATTTTTTTCCAATCTTAGCAGTGTTTACTAGGCCCGGAACCTACTCAGCACAAGTCCAATCAAACGGTATGCAGCTCTAAACCTCAAAATCAGAGCCATCCCAATAGAGTTTCCTATCATCATCCATGTGCCATTCCTGGCCACTATGATGCCAATCTGACCGCTTTGAGTTGCCCGAAAAGTGTAAACCAGCTATTGTGGGCTCTAAAAACACCTTCGGAGCACGCCAGGCGTCTGCATGGCCAGCTCTGGAAGCACGAGAGCACGCCACCTGATCGACATAATTGGCGCTGAGGATGCACCCGGAACATGCAAGCCGTGGCTGGACCACCAGCTGGGGACCTCGTCCCCGGGGCAGCAGAAAAGCCGTCGCTAGCACTGAAAGCACGCGGTAAACAGCCTGCCACCAAAATAAGCACGAACAACATTTCGTGTGCCAATGGAGCTTTTACCACACACTCAGCTGCTGAGGCTATATGGCGTCGCCTGCCTCGCACCCTGGCAGGAAATGCGGGCACCGCGGGGAATCGAACCCCGTACTTCTGGGAAACCAGAAGTACGGGGTTCGTAATTCTGGTTTTCCCAGGAAAACATTTCACCAGAAGTACTGCACTCGAACGTCAAGAGAACTCAAGTGCTGAGAGGATCGCTACGAACACCAAACTGAAAATAGTGTTAACACTGGGGGATATATCATACAAACAATAAACTCCTACCGCTGTAAACGTCACTCGGTTATATGACCTGCTTACAAGCCCCTGCTGAGGCACGCAACATTATGACGTCATGTACGCTTCAGCGCAGAGAACGCAAAGTGGCTGGTGTACGTACTTCTGGTGCCATCCTTGGTTTTCTTGACGATGTCGGGGAAGATCCTGCCGCATTCGCAGTCGTTCAGCTTATTGCAGCAGCCACTGCTCCCGGGAATCACTACCTTGTGATTGATTTCCATGCCCTCCGATGTTGCCCGCTGAAAGTCGGTTTTATGTGCTGGTTACGACCTCAAAAACTTACAGCGTAAAACATATCAGAAGCCTAAAAATATTCCGAATGCATGTGTCACGAATGGCTGTGCTCTATGAGGTTTCACCGCTTTTTGTCCTATTTGCAAGCAACTTGCTGAAAAAAGAAATTTGGAGTTAGAGGCCCCAAACGCGTCACTAACACATTGTAACCAAACGACAGCAGCAACAGATCACCGAGGGAATATGGACTGTCTCATCACACTCCAGGTGCCATAAGTGTGAGGTCACTGGGGGGGGGGGGGGGCAGCAAACTGTCCTGTGTGCCAAACACTAGCAGTCTGCGACCACCGAAAGGCAGCAGACTGTTCCACCGCACAACAAACACCAGCAGCCTGAGGTCACTGAGAGACAGCGACCGTCCGGCCGTACAACAAACACATCAGTCTGAAGTCACCGAGAGGCCGCGGGTTTTCCCACAGTACAGTGAACACCAGCAGTCTGATGTCACCGGGAGACAGCAGATTGTCCCACAGTACAGTGAACAACAACAGTCTGATGTCACCGGGAGACAGCAGATTGTCCCACAGTACAGTGAACAATAACAGTCTGATGTCACCGGGAGACAGCAGATTGTCCCACAGTACAGTGAACAACAACAGTCTGATGTCACCGGGAGACAGCAGATTGTCCCACAGTACAGTGAACAACAACAGTCTGATGTCACCGGGAGACAGCAGATTGTCCCACAGTACAGTGAACAACAACAGTCTGAGGTCACCGGGAGACAGCAGATTGTCCCACAGTACAGTGAACAACAACAGTCTGAGGTCACCGGGAGACAGCAGATTGTCCCACAGTACAGTGAACAACAACAGTCTGAGGTCACCGGGAGACAGCAGATTGTCCCACAGTACAGTGAACAATAACAGTCTGAGGTCACTTAAAGGTAGCAGACTGTCCCAAATGCAGCATGCACCAAACACCTATCACCCTGATGTTACTGAGGTGCAGCAAGGAGCGCTGTCCCATTGGCTTGAAGTCGCCCAGAGCAGGCCATTACATTTGACATCCAAACAAGACGAAGCCATCAAGAGATCGTCACTGAAACTGACGCGCAGGCAGATAAAAGTTGGAAAGTGTGCAGGAAAACAGCACACAAAAACACACGGTGTAATTACTTCGAAACGAAACCTTTACTGGCAGCAGCGTTTGCTCTCTCGCCAATCCTGAGGACGTCTGTGATAACAAACATGATTTATTTTTTCTTGTTTTGAGGTGCAGGAAAACAGTCTCAAAAGACGCGACCTCGACCCGTATGAATACCTCGCGTTTGTCCCAATGTGTTGCACAGGACGTTCGATCCCCCCTTTCTCCCCCCGTCGGCAGAACAACCACGATCCCTTTGGCAGACACAGTAATGCCGCGACGAACCTTGGATGCTGGCCGCGGCCTTGAGCAAAACCAGACAGCAAGCCCGCAGCCTCGGTGACGGGTACCGACCTAAAAATAGCTCGGGACCCACTCGAGAGCGCGCCCGTCCCCTTATCGTTCTGTTCTGGGAGTGCGGACGGCCCGGGGCGTCTGCGGCGAGGTCCGGCCCTCCAGCACTACAGACAAACCGGTCCCCCTTACATGCGCCAGTTGTTGGTGCCCCAGACTGAGCGTTCGTTATAATTCTCAGTTTATAATGCACACTTAAGGTTTGTTTTGCAGGCGCATAGCTCGTTTAATGCCTTCGGCGCACGGTGCGCTGGTGCAGCAGTTGAAGTGCGTGTAATCGACTGCAAACCGTCACGTGCATTTAGGCGTAGAATCACACGACGTCACGTATGTATGAAGCGCGCTGCAGATCGCGGTCCGGAAAGATTACAGCCTAGTTTACAGCGTATATGTGACGACGGTAGACACAGCATGCTACATCTGACCGGACCCGAGCTATCGTCGGCTTTCCCAACGCCGTTCACACAGAAAGCCGAGGCGCGCCAAACGAGGGGGGGGCGGGGGATGCCAGGTGGCGGCCAGCATGGAACCCACAAAACGGACAGGCTGTTCACAATTGCTTAGTTGAAAATACCGTATTGTTAAGGGATGTCGCGCCGTCGCGATAGCGGACTTTCTCCATACATGTCTTAGATCGATTACTCGGTGTAATTCGAAGCGCATTGCCAAGAAAACGCAGAAGTTCACCCCGTCTGGCAACAGGCACTGCATGCCACCCTTTAATTTACAGCATAAGCTTCTTCGCAATGTAACTTGGGCGCACAGCTGGGATGAGAGCCCGATTCATGTCGTCTTACCCCTCCCAGCGCTGATCATCGTCTTGATTTTCTGCTAACTATGCGCCAAACTGAAGCATTGGCATTTACTTGTGCAATATATGCTCATGCTTACTCAAAATGAACACCTTGCATACAGACCCCAGGGCACATCAAGCCTTTCGCCAAGCTCCGCAACATCAGCCGGCTGACGTGCAGCGTTCAGCTGGTGGCCGGTGCGCCCGTGATCGGCTCCGGTACCAGCGCGGGGACGCGGACAGAGGGCCGTCGATCGCGCCGCGGCGGAACTGCCAGCTGACCTTGGTGTGCCCTGGTCGCGCAGACGTGCTGACACGCTCGGAAAATTGATGGCCGCCAACGCCACTAATGGAATGCTGGTTTATGTTAAATGACGGTCCGGTGGTGTGGTGGAGTTGTTTCAAATGGAGATGCTCTCTTAAAAACATACCCCACGTGTCTTAATGCAGAGGCTTCTGGCCGCTTATTTTTGACCTCAACAAAGATATTCTGGCCTGTCCGATGGCTATTATTACCGAATGTCCGCTCATCATATTTGCAGTTAACGAGAGTCTAAAGCAACAGATTATCGCCCACCGCTGCTGATGGGCTTCTCTGTGGTCTCACCACGAAATCCAGATGTGGCTAAATCTATCGGAGCATTCAACGTCTTTCTTTACGGACAAATATTTCTTGGGCTATTCACTGTGCATGAAGATCTCTGAAACAGTTTGCTTATGTTTGACATTTAACAAATGAAATGAGCCCACGTTGACGCTGAAGTCGTAACGCCGGGGGCGTAAATACGCATACCTACGTTTCAAAGCGCAGCGGCGTGTTCGGTTGTGCGCACATAACCGTTAGACGCCATAGCTACTGGACTTCTCAGAGAACTTGATAGCGACCATAAGACACCGTCCTGGCGCGGAGTGAGCGAGGTGATGTCAGAACTGAGGAGCATCATCAGGTAGGGATAATACCACCGGTAACACGCCTTGTGACGTGTGAGACGAACAAGATGACACAGAATGTTATTGTTATCATATACACAAATCACGTCGCGACCAGAACAAGCAAGGGACGACGTTGCTTATGTGAAGGACAGCGTTGGCTTGGGTATTTAACAAACAGACAGCACCTTCGCCTATATTTTTGGCTGGTATCAAACATGCATCTGATCTGGTTGAGGATCTGGAGTCCCCCCCCCCCCCCCCCCTCCAGATTAGACCTTCACAACCTCGTGAATACATGGGACGCACGTGGGTGGCCGTAAACTGCTGGACGCAGTGGCGCGCATCTGTCTCAAATCCATTCCCGCGTCTTTTTCGCAGCCTCATCTTGTTGATTCTACACCGCTGTAATCTTGGGTTGTCAATCCCTGACGGGATTTTAACCCGATTTATACAGCCTTTACCAAGCAACTGTACATTTTGTAAGTTGAACCCGTGGAGGATGCTACTTTTTGGTCATAGTACAATATTTCAGGAAAACCACGCATGATCAAACAACGTGCATGCACAACTTTGAACTCCATACACCCAATATTAGTGTTGTATCTTCCGTGTAACCAGCTCGGATGCATTATCATGAACTGGCAATGCTGGTTATTTAATTCACCTATTCTCTTTTTCCCTACAAGCCAAATAATACCAAGATAGTCCATAAGCAGCTTTCTTGAAAGCGAAGAATACTCCCAATCGATTGGTGATGCGTGGGAAACAGACTAAATATTATGCATTGCCTATTACACAACAAAGTTTCGAAATGATCCTACGCCCCTCGAGACATCCAGAAATGTCAGCAGCTTCCACCCAGGATAGGGGTGCAGCATGCTTTGCCCATCCCCTCTCACTGTGGGTTAGCCGTGTGGGACGGCTCTGGGACCCACCTTCTCCAGGGACTCGGCGATCTTCTTCAGCTGCGCCGTGTTGGACACGACGATGGAGAACTTGTACCAGTTGTAGTACTGCAGCAGGGCCACCACCGACTTGGTCACCTGGAGCAGAGCAGACACACTGCAGAGACGCGGTGACATAGCCGGCAGTAGGCCCAGCTCATGCTCGCGCTCGCCAGAGCTGCCGACGTCGTCCTCGACGCCTGAGCGGAGCGCTGAATCTCGACGCTGTCTCACATACAGATCGCAGGATAACGCATGGCGTATATATGCGCCCGCCGCTGAAGACACAGCTGGTGTCAACGTGGCAAACCTTGTCGCTACAGGCGATCAAGTGCTCGAGCAATGTCCTTCAGTCCCTAATTTAGTCGTTCTGCGCTTGAATAGTGAATTTGTCTGGATGCTCTTAATAATGAAGCTATGAGGCTGTATGCTCGCGGTGCATCGTGTCAAAGTTAAACGAATGGAACAGACTGAGTAAAATGCCAAAAAAAAACTCAATGAACAGAGCTGCAGAGTTAAGATGAATGCGACAGTGAAAATATGACGATTGTTCACGACGATTTACCTTGTGTGGAGCCTAATCACACATCATTTTCTCGCGGCAGTCAGATCAGTCCCCAGAGCATTCACTGCACACGCCATACCTTAAGGAACAAGGGCTTCCCCTTAAGTTGCTCAGACTAGGGAGCAATTTGCCCTTGGCCACACAGAGCCACACAAAACTTAACGAACTTTAACTTGACCATCAGTGTTCTGCAATAGTCACCGGAGTAATTGCGTATTACCTTGAACTTACTTCTGGTTGGAAAAACGCATAGAAAATCGTTCTTCCACGCAAGCTGGACACAATTGAGAGATGCCTAGTGCACCTCCCACATGTTTAACAAAATAATGGAACAAATGGAACAACAGAATGAAACCTTGTATCTCCTCGAAGTCTGCCTTACGCCAGATACTTTCCTTCACTTATCCATGGGACTTAAACAATCGGGACAGCCGCACAAAACATGGATACTTCAACGCATCCTCATTTCAAGAACACGTTTCTTTGCCCTCCCCCCCCCCTACCGACGGATTCCGCAAAGCTTTACTCCTTCAGCCGACGTAGCTAAAGAGCTTACAGATCTGAAGAGCTGACTGAGCTAAAAAGCTGACCGAGATGACTTCAGATGAGCAGAGGTTGGAAATTCATAATTTGGAAGTTTTGCAAAATGTTAAATTGCACACAGCCTGATTGATGCACTTATTTTCAATACTACATATTTAAATGGGCAAGCGCCGACGTCCAACCAAAAATCACGCTTGGCAAAGTGCCGCAAGCTTCTTACGAACCGGCCATTGTCGTTTGGGAGCATACACGAGTGACGTGCACCTCCTCACACCGACGCCACACGCAGGCGACCGCAGTCATGACCTCTCGCCAGCGACCAGGAGCGAACACTAAGATTCGAAGGAGAATCTTATGCTCACGTGACGAACGAACCTGAACGATGCACGATAGCACTGCCTCCAGCTGACCGACGAGACGGCGAGTGAGGGGACAGTCGAATCTGTGCGATACTCGAAGGCAAGTGGGAGAACACTCGAACCTGGGCAATACAGGCCGCTCGCCACTACTGAAGGCCTCATTATTTATGTGGTCATTATTATTGTATGCATGCAAGAACAGGCCAGGCGAGTTTGTGCACTCAGAGGCAGTCACGAACACAGGACGGCTACAGGTGAGGTGCTGGTTTGCGAGAGAGATCATTGGGAGAAGTGGCGTGATGAAAGTCAGCCAGAAAACGTGATGCAAAAACGTTAGCATTCGACGTTAAAATCGCAAGGTGCCGGCACACCAACATATGAAAACATGCGACATTACTTAAAGCATACAATCCAGTAATTCAATTTCCAATGCTCAGCAAACTTTGGAGGGAATCTCTCACACATCATAAAAGTCAGAAAAAGATGAAATATATTTAAACAGAGTACACTGGCAGGCAATGGCACCACTAATTATAACAAAATCAAAGTCCTACAAAAAGGACGACACATCTCGATTGTATCATGCTCCACATAGTCTCCATCCCCACCATACCATCACTCTTTTCGTTCTTTCTCATTCACCACCTAAGTCTTATGGCCAATGGCGGCGTGCTCATCATACACCCTTTTAAGTCGCATTTAGCTATCAATCAAACTAGCTGGACGCTGCTTTCCGAAGTGAGTACTCCACACAACCAGTCGTCAGCATTTGAGCGATTGAGCAAGGGACTGTGGTGGTGGAAGCATCTCATGATTCATGCACTCCAAATTTCAGAACTCCGAACTCGAATTTCGTCGATTTAAATCGCAAAACCTGATCAACCAAAGTAAACGGCGATTAAAAGCTGATCATCACAAAAGTCTGTAATTACAGTTACCAGACAATTTATCACTGCATACGAAATGAAATACTCGGTGCAAAAAAAGAAAGATGTTCAGTTACTGACCTCTCAACATTATATGCCTGAGGGTCTTATGCTGTGTTGTTGGCCTTTAATATACCAGAAGATGCTGGTAAAAGTGCTGTTCCATACTTGAAGATATTCAAGCACTCATCAGATATGGAATAAGCTCGCCGATAACTTTTGGTATTTGAAGTGGAGGAGATTGCTCCACGCAGCAAAATTTCTTTATTTGGTAAACATGCCTCTCAATACGCCATTGATCGATTGGGCCAACGTATCTTACACGGCGATGATCGGGACTCTATTAACGGCCGTTATGTCTGGAAATTGTGCTCACGGACGCCAAATGTGAACGACTCGACAATTTTATTTTTTGGACCATGATCGCAGCATGATCAAGAAAATGGCAGGGTTTACGGGACTTAACTGTGCATCATGGATATCTGGGTGACCTTGAAATAGTGTGTACGAAAAAGTCTGTATGAAACAGTCTGCATATCTTCGCAGACCTGTAGCTCAGAAACTAGAGGCGTTTGGGTCTTAAAAAGGGCGGGGTTGTGAACTGCACTGAGTACTCTTCAAGATGGCTATTTTTCAGTTCAAACCTCATACAAATGTATAGCGCTCCTTTTTAATGACGCTATAGTGCGAACATTGGCCACATAGACAGTACTCCACGTTTTAAGCCGGGCTTGTGACCCGCGGCGTATACTAGAGTGCGTAGGATGGTCATTTCCGGTGCGTAGTTTATAAACTGGTGGTCATGAGCCCACCTTGAGACGCCAAGCAGTGTTCAATGCCACCAACATTTGTACCATAGCGCTGTTTAGCCGGTACCTCCTGGCACATTGAACGTCGATAACTCATCACAAGAGCTGAGCTCATAATGTCCAGTGAAATAGCCAATCAATTATCCCTTTTTCCATTTTATCTAGGAGATAATTCAAAAATGCTACACCAATAGAACCCCGCCTGCAACATTTTAATGAAAGGTCAATTAAATGTTCAGACTTCTCGCGCAGTAACTCAGTTCAAAGACATCTGTTTTTAAAGAAGTCCGGGTCTGCGAATTTTACTTTTTTACATTATCTGCATAATGCCAAACACACCTAACGCTCTGGTATGCTACCTCTTGGCTCTGTCCAAGCCGCGCAAGGCATTTTGCTGCGCGGTGTGAGTCATGGCCTACGCAAGAGTGCATAAAGCGGTCCGTTTCGGTGAGTGGTTTATGTACGTCTTTGCCTATGTATCTATATGCGTGCGAGCATGTGCCATATTCGGCAAGTGGTCAAAAGCGATTGGTCAAGACAATGGTTGAATGTTCGAGAGAGAAGCAAACCCTTGACCGCACATCAGTGTGGGGAAGAGAATGCGAAGGTTGTGAGCTACGAAACTTTCGGAAATGTTGGTGGCGTAGGTTTTCCACAGCCAGGATAACGATATAGATAACATAATTGGCATGCCCCCTAAAAGAGCTAGTTATCGCCGAAAATGGCGTGAAATGTCACAACCCAAGGTCTCCGGCGTGTCGCCGTTTGCTATGGGAGGTAGCCAGGCCGTTAAGTCTTAGAAGGACAAGTTCGTTCGCTCGGCAACGGAAACAATTTCGAAAATAACCTGCAAAGATCGCTAGGATCAATGTAGACGGAAGTTGATGCTACTGCAATCAAAGCTCTGGACCAGCAACACACCTACAGGTAACTTAAATTCCGCGAATGTAAATCACACCAAATACAGACATACATCAATACACACACATACATACCATCAACGTAGCGAATGCCTACCGCATATTGTAGAGCTCCAGCCAGTGTCCTAATTTCTCAACCTAAATGTCCGCCACTCTTTCCAGCCGTCGCTGCGGCTTTCAAACTCTTAGATCCCCAGTACTCAGAACGTCTCCACTCCTCTCAATCATCTCCACACCCAACTAACTCACCAAATCCCCGTATCCCTAATCTGCCAACATTCTCGCAGACCCTCCCCCCCCCCCCCCCCACCATAACCGACCGAACCTCCACATCCTCGACGTACCTACGCCGTCACCACGGCCTGCGCGGCCTGCGCTCCCGTTTGACGCGACAGCGCCGCGCCGCGCCGCGTCCTATCGGCGCCACGGAGCGGCGCGCGCGCGCGCGCGGCCACCGGTGGCTCCGGACGGCGTCGCGCTGGGGCCGGTCCATCGCGCGTCCGGTCCGCGGCTCACAGCAGCCGGCCGCGGCCACTCTGCAGCGCTATTTATAGCCAGCGCCTGCAGCAGGCGGCTGGAGCGGTGGACGGCGCGGCCGACGGCGGTGACGCGCCAGAGCCGGTCGCGCGCCTCGACAAAAAAAAAACGTCTCGGGCGTGGGCCCGACCACCTGTCGGCGCCGGTCTTCACCAGAATATTACGGGTTTTTGTGTTCGGATTTTTGCTCGGACGAACAGCCAGAGCGGTACTGCGGCTTTAATATGCAGACACACCAACAAGACCGGCGCCTTTTCTTGCGCACATCGTCAGAAGCGGTAAACACTCGATGTCAGATAGGTAATTACAGATGTCCAAGAGAGATCGTGAAGAAAGTGCGCCTGTTCAGTGTGGTGTGTGGTCGGGACTTAGGGCGGTTAAAAGTCAAGCCATCATGGCTACATCCACACATCTGCGTTCAATTATGTACAGCAATGCGTGTGAAAGATGCACCAGTTTGCTAACTCACGTGCGATACGAGCATCTCACGGCGTAAGTCAAGCCGCGGATTACGCAAGATCCACGCACTGAGCCGGACCGACCATAACGTACAACACTAATCATGGATTGGGACAAGTTCGAATAAAAAAATGAACAGCATAAGCAAACTGAAATGAACTGATCGTCGTTCAAAGCTCATGATATGTTAATGTCTTCGCTGCTTCAAGTCAGACATAGGTTGCGGTTAACGGTCCAGGTAATACAGAGTATGTATGCATGCAATTACTTACAAATATGTGCGCAATTAATCCATACCTATGTATGTACGTGCGATATGACCACCTGCTTCTAAACAGGAACCAGTCCATGAGAAAGTTTGGAAGTACGAATCACTGGACTGGACAAGATCGATGCCGAAAATTGAGCTTGCGAAAGATCATAATCATTCAGAGATCTCAGCTAGCCGGCCAGAGAGCTCGTAAGTACCCAAAAATAAGATTTGCAAACGCCAAATGCAAGAATGTGCGAACTGGCGATGAACAGGGGATGCCAGCTTGATTGCCACCATCCGTGGCAATGCTGCTATGCTTGCATCATTCACGTACTGTGACACCTATCTGTACACACAATTGCTTGAATACACCCCAATTATTCCTACGATTACATATCATGAAACGTTTTGTATAATCCTAGCGGTACAACTGTGCTACAATACCGTGCTATTACACCACGTAATTATATCGGGTGGCTGCAAGTCCCCCCTCGTTTGTTACATTCAAGTGATGCCCGCACGCCAAGGCCGCATCCTAGCCCAGCAATATATCGGATTAATCACAGGTGACGGTTGTAATTACCGCCGCGTCGCGCCCTGACGTGACACCAGTAGACCGCAGTGTCCGTCTAGTCCACTGTGTTACGTACACGCTGGTGTTGTGCGCCGTCCTGCAGACGGCGAAGCCAATATGTTTATCAGCGCTGCCCAGCCGCCGTTAGGTCAACGCTCATCACATCGCTGCTGTTGCTGGGGGCCTTCACCGGTGAGATGTCCCTCGCCCGATCCAAACGCTGCCTGCGGGCCGATCGCCGTGCCCTTTTGCCACTCATCTGAATCCGTAGTACCAACTTTTTTTGTCACCAGCTTGCATTTTTAGGGCACTTTATTTCAAGATGATCGCAACGCAGGAAACTTTGCACCCAGATTTACTCTGATAAATTCTTAATTGGAAAAGTAGTGTAAATGAAGTCAATTCGTAAACGTTTTATCCATACCCGCATCCATACCTACAATTTTCCCAAATTCTGCACCCAACACAGCCCGTTAAATGTTGCAAATAGGAACTGATGGGTTCGCGCAGCTCACAAAGCACTGTTAGTGCGCATCTGAGGGCCGTTACGGTGATGCTATGCTGTTCACTGAGGGAAAGCCTGGTCCGCCTGCTGTGGTCTACAACACGACGCCATCCGCTCTACAGCAGATCGAGCAAAATCATACTGCGAGCAGCGTCACATGATGGCCAGCTCAGCGTTTGCTCAGCTGACTGCATGAAATGCACAGCAGACATGGCGATATGTACTACCAATACGCATACCCCAGTAAAGAAGACGGCCGTTCTGGGTCGATATAGTGACTCTACGCTATGTATGGAGTAAGAGCAAATCCAAGGCGTAACAGGAGAAAGGGGTGAGAGGAACACAGGCGTGCGCGAAAGAGAGAGAGAGAGACGAGAGAGAGAGAGAGAGAGAGAGAGAGAGAGAAGATAGAGAGAGAGAAGAGGAGAGAGGAGAGAGAGAGAGAGAGAGATAGAGTGAGAGAGATAGAGAGAGAGAGAGATAGAGAAAGATTGATGAGATAAGAGAGAGAGAGATACGAGATAAGAGCTCTCTCGTAGACTCGAGAGACGAGTGATCACGAGAGAGTCTTCGCTCGCGAGAGCTGTAGCCCTTCCATCTGCGGAAATTCGTGTATCTCAAGGCTACTGTCCGCTCTTGCGTCCTCTGCGTCGTCCTAGTATCTCCCGCTCATTCTCTGCCCGCTCCAAGTCAGCAAGTGTCCAGAAAGAATCGTCAGCCTCAACACAAAGCATGCTTTTACTAATCGTACACATTTGCCGGCCAGGTGAACACTACTGAACTATTCCAAGCGCATATGTTGTCTTGCATGATCAACTGACACGCAATGAGCCCTGAGGTTCATCAACATATTACACCGCAAAGCAACAATTTTCATCAGATTTAGGCCAAGTTTGGTTGCGATTAGAAAAATGAAACATTTGTTGATAACTTAGTACTTGTCTTCGGTTGTTTTTTATTCTGTGTGCAGTAACGCTGTAATGTGTGAGTGTTCCTTGCAATTAAAATTGATTTTTACAGCATCGTTTATTTGCTGCCTGCGTTCGCTGAAATTTCATCAGGACGTCTCAGAACGGGAAAACTTGATGCAAAACAAAGAGCATTCAGCTGCAAGTTGGGTTGGCTCAGTCGTAAGTTGGGGATTTAACTACAAGTCGAGATGATGAGAGATGACAAGATGAGAAGACTTCCAACCGAGTAGGATATTACGTCACTGATATTGGGGCGCAGCCTTAAAACACATGCTAATGTAAGAAATAGTAAAATAATGACGCTAATGGCACGGACACCAAAATTGATCGATACATTAACAGTCATTACGGAATCGCCAAGAAGTTGTACGTACATGTATGCCACATTTTAGATTATGTGCTATACATATCTCGCATATTTTATCGTCTAGCCATCAAGTGGCATGCAGAACCACTTGCATGATCAGAAACAATGATGGTATCCGCATGTTACTAAAAGTTGCTTAAGTGGAGACATGGGATCACATCATAAATTTTCAAATAATAATGAATGTACAATTTCAATTCACTGCACGAGCCAGTGTACAATTATTACAACACAAGTATGCGCGTACAAGGTAAATTATAATGCAACCATGCCAACTGTTGGCAGTTCTAAGGGACCAGGTGCCACTCCGAAGGCGAAAACACCATCATTTTCGCCAGAGTAAAAAAAATCGTCACCGGACTAATAAACAGGAGTTGCCACGAAGAAGGAGGCAGGAAAACTCCAGCTCCGGTCAGCCATGATTGAACGTGCGGTCAGGTCGGCCAGCGGCGTAACAGCTCACCTGCGTCTCCGGCGGGAGCGTACGGTCAGGTCGGCCAGCGGCGGGACAGCTCACCTGCGTCTCTGGCGGGAACGTGCGGGCGAAATTCGGAAACTCGTCCTTGTTGGAGACTGCGTCATCGGTACATTTCTGGAAGCACGAGTGTTACGTCAGAGGACGGTCGGTGAGGGACTTGCTGACTTGGCGACTCAGCAACCGGTCACACAAGACACGGGCGTTACACAATGGCACTCGGCTAGCGAGACATGTCATCCCGGTTTGTCTCCTCAGCCGTCTTTCCAACCGAAGCTGTCTTTCAGCCCCTTTCGTTAGCTCGCGCACATCGTTGGTGAGCCCATGGTTCAGCGAACCCGGCTGGTGAGTGATTGTTATGGACTGCACGAGTACGACTAGTTCGCCAGTCGCCGGCTGTGTTACGACTGACATACAGAGTAGAATCTAGTTAGATTATGTGGCGAAAGTCACTTTAACTGCGAAAACACATCACTGATGTGGTTATGTTTTCGTCCGCCGAATGAACCACTAACGCTGGAGTATGTCCTCCTTCGGACGCAGTGTATTGATTGGTACAAGGCGCAGTCTTAAACATATATACATTACTTCACAGTGCAAATAACGGAGAGTTGACTTGATGACAATGAAAAACCTCTTCCATCAAGATGTCCTTCGCGTGGCTTAAATTACGGGTGTCCGTCAGGCGTTACGCCCAAGTTCTAGCGATATTGTTTCTGGTGCTCATTCATATTGAGGATGGCAATATGTCACAACGTTTCGGTGTTAGAAAATCCAGCCGATGGGAGATAAGCCAGAATTAAGAAATCATGGCAATATATATATATATATATATATATATATATATATATATATATATATATAAATCTAGCAACTATTGTTTCCAGATCGCATTACTTTTCTAGGCCAGTTTTCCAAACATTTTAAACGTTACGGCATATTCGAGCGAAACGTCCTGTTTATATCAACGTGCCCGCTCTTTGACACCACATGACAGCAGCCAGGTTCGTCATAAAGCTCCAGTTACGCACTTGACGCAGTGACACACGCACGCACGCACGCACACACGCACACACGCGGATTTTAACACGATATGGGCAAATACAGCTCCAACGTCCTAGAAGCCCGGACCGATTGCTTACATCGGTTGCAAGTTGCATAGCGCTGTCACCCATCTGAGATATGATTCAGTAATATCGGGGCTTCACAGGGTTCATACTTGTAATGTAGCTGCATCCACAAAAACCATATCTTTGTTTTAAAAATCGTCAGCCAGTCATCAGTAAAGATCGTCTTTGTTTACCTCTGGGTCAGTTTGCATTTGCGCGGTACGTGACGCACCATGTATTTAAAGGGTCTCAGCGACCTATATGGATTTGTTGCCACCTCCCTACGCTGAGCAGGCCTTTGCTGAAAAAAGAAACGTTGGGTTATGACCACCAGCACAGCTTGAAACGTCGAGCATTAACAATATAATCAGTTTTTACCTGATCATGTTGTTTAATGGGCTCTCCCATATACGTTGAAGATCAATTTTAATAAGATAGAAACAAGATCAGATAAACATAAAAGACGCGAACTCATAATGCCTCAAAACAGACGCTAAAAGGTTTCTTGCTGATGTTAAATTAACACGTTGATTCTCAACTCTCGCCAGGACACGGAGCTGGTATAACACGGAGTTTTTAAGGTTATCCCAACCCTTCTGTATATCACAATGAAAGCTTCGTTGCCTCAGTTTTGAGCCTTTTCCATCTGGCTCACACGTTTCAGTCTCTAAAGCACCAGCAAAACAAGCCATAACTGCATTCTCAAAGGTGTGCGTGGCAAAAATATGGAAAGCCACCATTCCGCAACATTTCTAGGCTCTGTGTTCACTACATCCTTTTGGTCAAAAGTTCTGAAGAGGACAAGTGCATAGATCACCACCCTCATCAACGATTGTGATGTTCCCTAAGGTCATTTGGGACCAAGGTCACGACAGGTCAAGTGGGTAATGTCGTGGGTTGTTAAATGTCTATTTTGGGTCAGTGCAAGTCTGAACGGAAATGTTTTACGTTTCAGGATGTTGGAGCAGGCACCAGATATGATAAAGCAGACTCACTTATAATTATTGGCATAATTTTAGGTGGAAAAGACTGCTCTAGACCGCAGTTCTCTGTTTAGTAAATTGTTTCTCAGTGCCTCAAGGTTTGATTACGCCATCGTACCTTGCACAACATTAATTGAGAGCCAATTGGCGGCCGTTGTATCTGAAGATCGCGCCCATGAACGCCAGATATGAATGCCTCAACAGTTATGTTTTTCTTGGCCTTGATCGCCGCATGGCTTATGGAATGGCAGGATTTGAATAACGTTATGATAACGTCATGAATGCTAAGGTCACCTTGAAATACCCTGCCCGATATACCTTTAGCCATCTTCGCGGACGTGTAGCTCAGAATATGGAGGGGCTAAGGATTGTGAACAGAATTGTGAGGAGCGGAATTATGAACAGCACCGAAAGGTGTTCAAGATGGCTATTTCAGTTCAAAACCCCACAGGAATGTGCTGAGCTGATTGCTGTGCTGCCGGCTCAAGCTTCCTGTTAGCTGGATCCATGTGTGGTGCATGGTCACGGGAAACTGAGGGAAACCGCCAAAAAAGGAAACACGGGAAACCGCCAACAACAACCCTTTAACTGCTAAAAGTCGTATCAGTAAAAATCACCGTTCATTAATCATCGAACATTAACGTGATGAGCGTAGGGTCACCCAAGGATCAAGGGACAACTAGAGCCACTGGGCCAGCTACAGCCTCTGAGATGCAGCAATGAGACTTTCCAGGCGTGTCGGGGCAACAGGCAACTGACTGGAACTGGAAGGTACAGAACGTTTGAGACGAGGAGTGTTTTCAGATGGAGTGGTTGCTCGGCTATCGTCCTAGCCAGTTGAATTAAACTGCACACAACGTTCCAGCCAGCTGTTTCCACGACTGCCGTCAGGGATTATTTGGTCCAGGAAAAGACCTGAGGATATCCGTTTGCTTAGTCACGCACGTAAACCAGCTTTCGAAGCATATGCGGCTTCAAGCCTCGGGCCACAATCTTGTGACTGATGACAGATGGTCTAACCACTGTGCCACCAAGGAAAAGACATAAGGGCGCGTTAGAAATTCCCGCCATTGCTCGCCAGTTTTTTCGTCGTACTGGGAGCCATACTGTGCTGATGCATGTATTCAACTTGTTCATAGAATTTCGAGCCGGTGCCACGTGTGCTGCGCCCTTGATCTTTACGATCTAGATGATCTCAGTACTCTAAGTTGGCTTCCGTGCATATGATTGCTTTCAATACATCTGAGTACCACTGAACACCCGACGGCGGTCGTAGGAATTGCTGACCGCAGCATCGGGCGCAGCCTGACGCCACGGCCGTGAGCAATAACCCGAACAGCTCGGCGTTCGGTCTGTAGGGATACGAAATGAAGGCAAGTTTATAGGTCCAGTTTCCGGTGAATGCACACCACACATGGATCCAGTTAACAGGAAGCTTGAGCCGGCAGCACAACAATCATGCATAACAATAGGCAAAACTCAATGTACGGCATAATCAATGTGTCGCAATATCCCGCCAAGAATGTCGCTCACAAAACGCTTCTCTTCTCGGTTTATGTTCTCTTTCATTTCCAAAGCCACGCCACGTCACCGGTCGCCTCGACCATTGTGAGAGACCGCGTCCCACTGGCTCGGTCCCGGCTGGCGGCGCCGCGACGCTCCCGCCCGGCGTAAGTAAGCCGAGTCGTCCGCCGCTGGCGCTCCGGGGCCATTGTGCGCAGACAGTGCCGTGCACATGAGGCACGGCGCCGCTCACAAAAGAAGTGGCTGAATGCAGACGACCCCGCGCTCTGGTGCTCAAAATGGTCACGATTCAACAGCGGACCACGCGCTGTGGGTTCGAGGCAGGGCACCACGAAGGGTCATCTTTCATGGCGGTGTTCCAGCTGGTTGGGGAGGGACCGTGATCATCAGGATTAGACAAGTTTTTATACGCAAGCGGCGCGCGCCAGCATGTCCTACACCATTTGAGTGCCACCAAAGCAGTTCCAATTTCCCCGACAAAAACACAATTTTGCAATGCGGCGATATTCTTAACTTGTAGTTTTCGGTCGTTGTTAACACTCTTCTAGCTCTCCCAAAGCAATTACTATTTCGCCGACAAACATGTTGTTGCGACTGTGCGATGTTCTTAACTTTCAGACGCTGGTAGTGTTCTCTGTTATTCTCGTGTTCTCTTCATAAAACCATGGTATAAAAACCCATAAGCCACGAAGTGTGATGAGGGAGATATGGGCTTATGAAAGTCTGTGACAGTCTCTTGCAGTCGTCCAGATAAATCATTTCATTACATAATTATCATACTTAATCACGCTTAGCCACTATGGGAAACTTGTTTGCGGCCATACACATATAGATGCGATCGTTGCTCCTGGCAGTATGCATTACCACATTGCCAGACAACTTGATTTAAGTCTTGTTTTTTTAGGCATACGTTTTGTCGCGTACCACTAATACCGCGTGTTTGTCTTTTCAGTAGACGAAAAGTCGTTTATAAGTAATGATTGCATGCGGTTTTGCCGTTGAGAAGCAATAACGAGCATATACCTTGAAGTGTATTTTTGTCGTGTAACACATAGGTCGCGTATAAGTTTTTGCAGCACAAATAATGACACGTATCAGCAATGACTAAGTGTTTGCAGTAGAAGTAATGGCGGTTGTAAGTTTGAACAGCATAAGTTTTGTCGCGTAGCACCTGTCGTGTATAAGCCTTGACAGCCGGAGTAAGGTCGGAGCACTCCAGTCGGCAGGACTTTTGTTCTGACACTGTTCCCATGGAGCCGTCGTCGCCTTATATATGGAGATACTATAAATGATAGGCATACATAAGATGGTATAAAGCGAAATATTGGAACCATATAATATTGGATAGACACGAAACCTTTTAAGTATGCTGAAGTCCGTTATTTTCAGCGTAACAGTTCGCGATGCCGAAAAGCTGGCAGGTCAAAGCCTTTTACGCTTCTCTCGACTGAAACGGCAGAGTTCTGTTCGGTGGAACGCACGCCGCAATAACGTGAGGAGGTAGCGTACTGTTTCTACAGAGAGCATACCGGAAACTAATAACAATAAAATGGTGACTAAGACGCCTAGAGCTTTATGGATTTTGATGCTATTCAGCTACAATTTCGACAGATGGACGATGGAAGAAGGTGGAAGGGGCAGGTGGAAGGCGGAAGAAGAAGAACCTATCGGAAGTTCTTCTCCGACTCCTCAGACGAGGAATTCATTTCGCTATGACATTTGTACGCCCCGGGTTTCGTCGACCAATGACAATCTTATAAACATGCCCGAACTCCGGAACGAAGACGTTGACGTTATCGGCGCTCAAAGACTGACGTCACAGTTCCAAGTAAGATAATGTACCCAAAGAGAAACACGCCTGAGGAGCTAACAGTTACATGCCTGAACGTTTTCCAACCATGCATTTTGACGGCATGTTCGATTGCTCATGTGGCAACAATTTTGTACCTGAAACTGCATGATGTAAAATTGTTGACCGGAAGGCATCCATATTATGCCGAAGCGGCTTTCCAAGGTGTCGTAATTCGCATGTAAACATGGGTAATTGACAACCCGAGAGTATATATTGATCTCACTATTTATTCAACCTTACAATTCATGAAGCTCTGCACAGCAAGGGAATGGAAAGGGACTGACTTTGATTCACAAGTATTCCGTTTTGCCGTCATACCCAGCGTTACGGCGGCTGGTCGCCCGGTTATCGGAGAATGTGTGACGCTCCTGTTGCGTGGCGCTGACCGCCCGGTCTCCCTCGAAGTGAGCGTCGCTCCCTGACCGCCCGGTCTCCCTCGAAGTGAGCGTCGCTCCTGCCAGTGGTGGCGGAGGTCACGTGACCGGCCCTCGGTCCTGGCTCCGCACAGCAGCCGGTCACTGGCTGGTCTGATGGCACAATACCTTCATTGAGTTAATATGCTTCTCGATACGTCATTGTTTGGTTACGGCATCGTACCTTATAAAACATTTATGTAAGCCAATTAAAGACCGTTATGTCTGGAAATCGTGCCCACGAAAGCCAGATATGAGCGACTCGATAACTAAGTATCTCTAGCCCTTGGTCGCCACTTGGCTAATGGAATGGCAGGATTTGAATGGCATTATTGTGGTGTCATGGATGCCTAGGTGGCCTTGAGATAGTCTCCCCGAAATAGCTTGCACATCTTCGAGGGCGTGTGTCTCAGAAACTAGATGGGTTCATGTTTTAAGAAGGGCAGAGCTGTGAACTGGATCGACTGATTTTCAAGATGGTCATTTCAGTTCAAAATTTCATACAAATGCGGATGGTGGCGTCACCAGTATGCCACGAGGTGGTGCTCTAGGCACGCGATGGTTCTGTGGCGCCAGGTTTGTGTGATCCGTGCATTTTCTGATCATATGTATGCCATGCCGTGCAAATGTGTATACTGCTGAGTGGCCTCTATAATCAGCTTGCTTTCTTCCCCTAAGTCTACAAGTTTGTTAACTTAACATATTTTACAGAAGCCGTTCGCGATGCAATGCAAAATATCCTGCTGCGTATTTGGGAACGCGTGGCGCAATAAGCCCGAGGTCGCTACATCTAGCAAACGGTTGTGTTTTGTCATTCGTGACGAATTTCGACACTTCGGCAACCACTAATTTGTTTTGAATTTGTATTCAAACGCCCTGGGTATAGGCGTC